CCTCTCCTCTCCTCTCCTCTCCTCTCCTCTCCTCTCCTCTCCTCTCCCCTGCACCTATCCAACTTGACCCAACTGTCACTGCATCTACCTCTTCTTAGATTTGAAACTCCTGATGATAAGAGCTTCCAGTTCCATATTTGCTCTATCTGTAGTGGAGTCTAGATCTGTTATATGACTAGTATATACAGCATACTAACCAGATACATCTAATTTTATTTATATATATATATACATATATATATATATGTATGTATTTTACATATTCAATTCTCTGCTCTGAATAAAATCATATTTAGCATGGTGCATATTGAACAATTTTCTGGCAGGATGGAATAAGTGAAAGTCTTTTTAAAATCAGAGTCACGGTAAAGGCAAATTTTTTGCATCTCTTTAAAAAATCATTCTTTTGGTAGGTGACATCATTAGGACTGTGCTGAAACAGAGTTAATGAAAAACTATTTCAAGGTTGATCTTTCAGAAGTACTGGATATTTACACAGTATAAATAAAAAATTAGTTGTAAAAATTGAGAGCAGTGTTAAAACCTGCACAATCTTTATAACAACTGGAGGGACAGTCACCACCATTTTTAGTCTAGAGCACTTCCTCTGGGAATCTGATTCTACCATGTGTAATGAGGCACATGCATGCAGGAGAAGGGGGTGATTTTAAGAGAATGTTCTCCTTTATGGTAATGCAAATACAGAATAACTTTCTTTACTAGATTTGAACTGAGACAAACTAGCATAACCCTCTCAAATCCCACATGAGGAACACACAGAAGGGTAGTCCTGGACAGATTCCCAGTTGCCTACAGCAGTGTTTCTCTTTTTTTTTTTTTTTTTTTTTCTGGGTGGCAATCCAGACACTGTGTGTTTACTATAAGAGCAAAAATACATTCATGATAGCAGTGATAAGCCTGTATAATTGGAGTATGTATTTGGCCAGAGAAGACAAAATTCTTGAAGACAGTGGTGTTTTGAACCTATGGGAATTATGTGGGTGTTTTTTGTTGTTGTTGTTTTGTTTTTATCCAGACTCTTTAATGTTCTTTTTTCAGAGCTGGGAGCTGTCTGGCAGAACAACTTGGATTCCATGAGGTGCCACATGCCACCCTTTTCCACCAATCCTGGCAGTGGGACCTAAGTCCTGAAGCACAGTGTGCGGACCTGGAGAAGGGGAAATGCTGCTGAAAAAACAGCTTTCCTGCACTCTAAGTTTCCCCTGCTCCTCTGGGGGAGCAGATACAGTTCCCCCCAAAGCAGCATTGTATGTTAGCAGGATATTTTTTATCATTTTTTCGTATAAAATTTGTGCTCATGTTTATAGATCTTGATGGAAGTAACTAGGGAGATCTGAGGCTTCAAATCCTGCATATCTTTCCAACAAATGTTTAACATCTGTTGTTTCTTGGAGAGTGTTTCTTTTTTTAAAAAATCCTAATTTAGTGGGTCTTGGCATACGTTCATACTCTTGTGGGAAAGCACGTCCTATAAATAGGAGGTTTGGTCACTATCACACAGCAGTGGGGTCCCTTTTGCGAGGCTTCTTGTAGCAATGCTTTCTGCTCCATTGGGTGAGATCCCTGAAATGCCACCCTGCTCAGTGCTTGTGGTCTTGCTGAATCAGGGTCTTACATGACCATTCCAGCACATATGATCAATTGTTGTAGATCATCCTAATCTATGAACAGAACATCTCCTAACTGTCTTAACTATGGGCAAAAGGCTGTTCTATGTGACTATTTCTGCATCTGCAGGAACAGTTTTGATGACTATTTAGAAGTGTCTCATAAAAGTTGAGGTTGGTTGGTCCATCAGCAGGAACAACTTTGTGGGAGTCCCTAATGCAACCAGAGCCTCCACCCTAGGTACTAACACAAATGATGGCTAGAACAGTCCAAGCACAGCAAGAGGGAAGGGAATTTCCCAAAATGTCTCTTAAATCAGCTTAAGTTACAAAAGGATGACCTGATTTCTTTCTCTACATCATTTGTTTCAGGAGTTCCTTCGGTTGTTCTTAGGACTACCCATTGTGCAAGGGATGTTTTAGGGAGGGAAGGCTATAAAAACATCCTTTAATCTCACTTTCCTTTGACAAGATGAGCCCTGCTATGTTGTGTCTATTTCCACATGTTTTCTGCCCTTGCAGCATTACCAGGAGGACAAGGTAGCACAAAATCTTGTCTAGGAGGGTTCAAGTACTGCCTGTCACAAACAGTAGGTACTTGCAGGTGATCAGAGTTCAGGTTTCAAGCCTGTTGCAAGGATGCAAATTTAATCCAGTTATTGAGCCCTGTTCCTGTTTCAGGTTCTGTTTAAAATCCAGCTTTGGATGCGGTGAACTGTAGTTGAATTTGGCCTTAGTGCATGGACATGTTTGAATAAAATGTGCCAACTCTTGTTGAGACTCACTGCTTGAGCAATGCACAGGATTCATGCTTCTTTTCTGATTTGCTTGGAATTCTGCTCAGAAGATTTTCCCAAACAGAAGAAGATTCAAGGATCGTATTCATTTTGGGAAACTTTGGAGGACACAAAGCTGTCCAACAGGTGAGTGTCCAGCAAAAGGGAATCTAAGATCATAAACAAGCAAATCTCCTTTCTGTGCTTTCCTCATCCGTAGAACTCATAGTTTCTCTCCTTACGTCTTTGCCTATGATTGCATTATCACTAAAATTTCTGAAGTGGTGAGATACAGTGGGAATGAGTGGATGACAAGAGACCTTTTCAGTGGTCTGCGGCCTGGAGGAACTGGCAGCCAGTCATTAGTGGTGTATCTCAGGGACTGCTAGTGGGGCAAAACTGTTTAGTATCTTTATTAATGGTGAAGATGATGACAAAAAGTCCCATCTCAGTGAGTCTCTGGTAAAGCAGTTGATAGCCTTGAGGACTCAGCTGCTCTTCAGAGGGACAGGGTGGAGAAGTGGGCTGGTAGGCAGTTATGAAGTTTAGCAAATGGTCATTCTACATGTATATAAGGGTTCCTTGATATAAGGAAAAGGTTATCCTCCAAAGACAGTCAAATATTAAAATAGTGGTCCAGAAAGTTTGTTGATCTATATCCTAGTAGATACTGAGATCTCAACCAGATGCAGTCTCGAGCATCTAGCTTTACCACTAGCCATGAGTTCTGAGTAGGAGAATAGAAGACAGACCTTTAGAGGTACTCACCTTGCTCTGTGATCTTGTGACTCTGTGTCAGCTGAAGAGAAGATGGGATTGGAAAGGATCTGTTCTAGCCACATCAGGTCACAGCAGAGACACTCTCCACTGTCCCTAACATTTTTGTGCTCCTTACTACTAGCAAATGGCAGAGAATGAGTAAGCAATAGACACAACCAAGTCCATCAACATTGTTTAGTGGCCTGGATCTAATCGACCTCCCACAGAAGCCCTCTGTAAGATTCCCTTTCCCATAATGGAGTGTTATGTAGGTCCCACAAAAACAGGAGGATTTTAAAAAACTTCAACTAAAAAACTTTCAATTGGTGGAAAGAGTCATGAAAACTCAGCTTAGAATTGCCCTCCCCACCCTCCCTCTGCCCTCTATCACATACACACACACTCACACATGAAACCACTTTTGTGGTATCTGCCATTCTGGTCTGTAGATAAATTAATCAACGTGGAGATGCGTGTTTACTGTCAATAAGGGAATGATACTCCGTTCATTACAGAAAAAAAACTTTTTTAAGTCTGCAAGAACACCATGGGAAAACAAGAAGGTTGACATTATAAAAGAAATGAAGCAATCAAAGAGTGTTCGTTTCAGTGACTTACGTTATTTTGTGACACTCATAATTCAGGACACAGTGTAGCTAGTCAAGCGTGATTAACTTCTTCTGGGATCTGACATTGTATTCTCTTTTGAAGCAAGAACTGGAGTCGGCAATATACAGGAGAGAAAGCTGATCAATGGAAGCGTGCCATTACCTGAAAGAATATGGTCTTTTGATTCTCCTCTGTAAATGAACAAGTGTCTTTTGTTCCCAGAACAGAACAGTGGCATAAAGGGCTTTGCACGGAATACTATTCAGAAGAAATTGGCATTATATAGCATACTTGTAAGGAAAACAACAATTTGAGTAGGGGTTTCATTTGTGCCCAAATCTCTACCAGAAACTCAGCAGGAAGGAAGGGAAGCGCAAAAGATGCAAACAATCAGACCCTTGTTAGGTGATACAGGACCTACAGGAACATGAGAGGCTGCACTTTTACTGAAATAATGTGGTAAAATAAACAGTGTGCAATACTGGAAGATGAATGGGAAGTTAATTCTGTTAGCATTTACAATATTTCAATAGCAATATTTTCTGAACAATGGTCCCTATTGATGCTGCAAGTGCTTGCACATTGGGCCTGCTTCTTGTTCAACAGATCTGAGACTGTTTGACCGGCTGTATTCTCTAATTGGACAAGGAAGGTTTCCAAAAGTGATGAAAGGCTCTATCTCATCTGTGATGAAACTGTTTGGAACCTAACTCATGCTGATTTGTTGTTGTTACTGCTGTACTGTTGTGTTGCCTTTTTTTTTTTTTTCTTGTAGGATATCTGGGAATATTTATTATTTTAAGTGGCACAGTAACTAGAGGCCAAAGGTTAATAACTTCAAGTCTAGTACTTCTGTATTTTATCACCAGCTAGTGCTTATCAGAATAACAAAATAAATGGTTTAACAATGGTTTAACTCTACTTGCAAACTTCCTCTGTTACATAAAAGATCCCTGTATACCTTCTTAGCTTAGGAGAGCACTTAGCTATGTTAAAATATTTGGAAATTAAGGGGCTAAAAAAGAGAGAGAGAAAAAAAAGAAATACACTTTCAAGTGAGATAGATTATTACTTGCATAATTAAAGGATTTTCTATACATAGGTATGCCGTTCAGCAGTATGAACTCTCCATACTGTGAAACAGCATAGCTATGCCAGCAATTAATAATTTTGACTTTAAACAAGGCAAATCTTTGTCCTGGACTGTGGGCCAAGTTTAACAGCATCTGTCTGGCTTAAAGGCCAATTCTTGCAACAGTTTGCTACAAAAATAGATTTACATTAATGCTGCTATTCCTGTGCATTTGCCTATTACTGTCTGTACACAAAGCTGCCTGATTTTCTCAATGTCTTGTGCTAGAAATGGGCCCCTCCCTGGCCACAGGGACAGCAGGCTGCTGGAAACAGGCCCAGGTGCTGGGTCTTCTGTGCTGTTGAACCAGATGCATCTGCAAAAAGTCTATGTCACAGCTAGCTTGGGATCTAAAAATTGCCATCAAAGCTCCATCCTCTTCCTTCATCCCTTCCTTCCGATGCAGCCCAGCCCTCCTTGAATTTGAAACTGTTGCCTCCAATTTCTTAGGTCTCCAGAGGCTTACACAAGCTCCTTGGAATTCAGTCCCATCTGTGGAGCTGCGTTGGTGGCTTAACCCTTGAGGGACACAGCAGGAAAAGGCACAAAATCTTAGGAGGGGATTTCTTAACTACTGGAACACTGTTCTTGAATTATGTCAAAGCAATAAAAAACCCACCAACCTAACATTTTTCCTGTCTCATTGTCATGGTCAATAACAATATCAAAACAACACCTTGTGCGAGGGCTGCTCCAAAAGAAATGCTTCACATTTTATTATGTTGGCCCACCATGTCAGAGGCAGATGTTGGTGCTTTAGCAGTAGAGTATGAATTTTCCTACCAATATTCCATTACAGGTTGTAGCCAAGCAAAAGTTCTTAACTATGAGAGTGGTGAGGTGCTGGAACAGACGGCCCAGAGAGGTTGTGGTTGCCCCATCCCTAGAGGTGTTCAAGGCCAGACTGGATGGGGCCCTGGGCAGCCTGGTCTAGTATTAAATGGAGAGGTTGGTGGCCCTGCCTGTGGCAGAGGGTTGGAGATACATGATCCTTGAGGTCCCTTCCAACCCTGGCCGTTCTGTGATTCTGTGATTCTGTGAACAGATGGCAGCAGAGAGGCAAACTAACAAAATGGTATTTGACATGGAAGCATGTATGAAGAAAAGGTGTGGAAAAATTGCACCCACTGTCATTCATTGACATTTATTGAATGCTTATGGAGACCAAACAGTGTATGTCAGTGTTTCAGTTGTGGTGACAGCAGTGTGAAAGACAAGCCACATTCTAGATAGTCGCACAGCTGTCATACCTTGAAAAGTCTCTTGATCAGCTCATCTGAGCAAATCAGTGGATTACAAACTGAGAAGTGTGTATGGTGCTGAATATCATCTTCAATTTGTTAATGATGATCATGACAACATTGGAATATTGCAAATTTACATCAGAATGGTCACACAGATGTCCACATAGGAACAGAAAGAACAACATAGGCAAGTTTGTCAGGACCTATTGAACGAGTACAAGGCTGGAGGTGACAGTTTCCTGGGTCACATAATTACCAATACTGAGAAGTGGTGTCATCACTGAGTCTGAGTCAGAATGTCAGTTCATGAAGTAAATTCCCCGCTGAAGAAAAAGTTCAAGACATGTCCCTGAACAGGTAAAGTGATGTGCTTTGTCTTTCGGGATAGGAAAATGGATGAACTTTCTAGATTTCCTGGAGCCCAGAGAAACCATCAAGAGAAACCATCAAGAGAAACCATCAACTCCGACTTCTGCATCACAATTCTGACTAAGCTGAAGGTTTGAACTTCCAGTCAGGCCAGAGAAGAAGAAACCTTTCTCTTACAACACGATAACACCAAGCCCAGTACCAGTTTGAAGACTGTGGAGCACACTGCCAGTCTGGGCTAGGCTGCCGTACCACACCCACTATATATTTTGGACTTAGTATCTTCTAATTTCCATTTGTATGGGCTGATGAGAGATGGACAGCATGGACAATATTTTCCTATCTACAACACTTCAAAGCAGCTGTGAAGCAGTGGGTCACCTCCGCGAATGCAGATTTTATGAGCGTGGCATGCAGGCTCTTGATCATCGCTGGTGAAAATACATAGCTATAGTACTGACTATGCTGAAAAATAGTATATTATAGCTGAGGATTTGCTCTGTCAAATAGTGTTATTATGCTCTTTATGTCTGTTGTAGTTTCCATGAAAATAAACAGGTGGAATTACTTTCAGAGAGACCTACGTATTTTAATCTTCTCTCCTTGAGCAGCATCCATCTGCATAGTCCCTTTGCAAATGTGCTGCAGCAATAACAGAGTGGGATCCAAGGCTCCAGAAGGGATGTCATGTTGGTGTGAATTAAAATCTGAAAATTAAGAGGAATACCTGTCATTTTCCACCTGTCCTGTGACTTTATCATCATCTTTATTCAGTAATACATTTTATACAGCTTTCGATTTTCAACACGATGAATGGTAGATTCTCACAAGAGCCACACGAGTTAGTTACAGAGATACTATTATCTCTGAGCTAGATGGAAAGAAATGATCTTATAGTGAGAGGAGAGTTCTACAACCCCAGAAGATATTGCTTTGATTCAAGGATGTCTGAGACTGTGGACGAGTAATTTAATTTCCACGCTTCAGTTTCTCCATCCTATTGAAAAAGGAATCCCAATACTCATCTGCTGCAGAGGGGCATCCTGATGAGCATGGGAAGACTGTGAGGCTTTTGCAGTGAAATAAGCAAAAAACAAATAAAATGAAAATCTAAGCCATGAAAAGAAATGGCGGGTGCAGAAAGGCCAAACTGTATGGAGGACTGTGAAGCAAACCATTTGCAAAGGCTGGATCAGGAAACCAGAGCTGTCATCTGCCACCCCCAGCTTGTGGCTGAAACCACACTCCACACAGCCACTAGAGAACAATATATATTTTTTTCCCCACGTGTTATTTTCACAACATTACAGATTATACCCTACCCAGTAATAGAGCCCTCAGCCAACTGGCTTGTGACATTTTGTAGTTGGGAATGCCACAGTTAGCAAAGTGCCATTCAGTGAAGGAATGCTACCAGTTGACCTGTTGATTGAGACATCTGTCCCAGATTGCTGCATATGCTAGTCAAAAGACAGTCACATGTTTCTTTTCCTTTTTTTTCTTCTTTTTTGTCCTTATACTGGCCAGAAAATCCTGCGGCTTCTAAAAGATTAAAACACTGGGTTAAACACTTTGATGGGGTTGATTCTTGAGTTACAAAACCAGAAACAGGAAAGGCCCTAACTTTTTCTAAGAGTCAAAGAGATGGAAAAGACAGACTGATGCAGAGAGGCAGCACAGGTGTTAATGCTGGCCCCCCAAAGCAGTGTCCTGAGGGATTATGGAGGCCAGCCCCCGGGTTTCAGAATTCTGCCTGTGAAGGCAGCCCTGAGGCTTTCTGCAGCAGGTTCTCCGAGTTTGGTGTTGGCTCTAGTCAAAGTCAGCGACATCCTCAGGTTCCACATGCAGCAGGCATACTCTGTTTGCAGTACATGAAACTTTTAGACGAAACTTCTTTTTTTTTTTTTTTTTTTCAAACTGCCATTTCAGGTCAGTGACCACTTCGGTTCAGCTGTACTTCCTTTTCTTTCCCTTTAAAAAGTAAAAGCATCGGGCATGTGTATCTCCTGCCGTGAGCTGAGGGTGTTAAATATTGCCTCAGCTGCAGTTTTGCCACAGTGTGGGCTGTGACAGTCCTCTGCTGCTCCAGGGCCCGCAGTGGCAATGGTCACACTGTTTGCTCAGAAATTCAAGCACTGAGATGATCTCATACACTGCAATGGCAATGTAAAATCAGTGCCATCCTGATTTCACATCCAAGTTGTCTCTACAGTGACCCAAATCCAGCCACTGACTTTTTGCTGGATTCTAGGCAGGGCTTTGGGAGCACATCCTAAGCAAGGGTTGATGAAGAGTCTGCAGGGGCCTGCTCGGGAGGTCATAGGCAGAAACTGTTCAATCACAGCTTCCAGTCGTATTTGTGACCAAAAAAACCCCAATTTTGAATTAAAAGGGTACAAATTTTCAGTCGGGAAAAGAATAAATGTGATGTGTCTCAGGTGACTGAGGGCAAAACTTGAATCCCAGAAAAAATGGTCAGTTTGCAAGCAGCTTCCAGGCTCAAGTGGGAGCAGATAAATTTCCTTAGAGAAGCTATTTAAGCAGTCTTTGGTAAACAACAAACAAACACTGCTGCCTGTTTGCAGAAATGTGCCTGCATTTTCATGATTATTATTATTTTTTAAATTTATTTTTTACTGTAAATGTTCACCAGAAGGTATTCTTCTTTCATTTCCAGGTTATTTTCTTTGGAGAAAATATATGTTCTCTGTGGTCACTTCAAACGTACATCAGACCAGAGATCATTCAAATGATCTTTTAATGCTTCTAAATGAAGATATAATATGACAGCTAAGAAACTCACACGGGAAAGAAATCCATTTTTCTCCCAAAGGCTGACACACAGCTGAGACTGATTTTTCTAAGGTTTCCTCTGAACTTGTCTGAACTATTTTTTCAGACTGAAGAGTAGAACAACAGTAATAGGAATGAAGTGACATTAATAATGTAACATCAGTTCTTTTCTTCTTTCCCCTTTGCCTCAATATGCAAAGTCTGATAGTTGCTGAAATATATTCAATCCTGAGGGACAAAATGAGGACCTACAAAAAAAAGCAAGGATGGTAAGTAGCTGACTAGAAATATTGACAGCGTCTGTGAATTTCTTAAACTGTTTCACATCTCAGAGTTTTCATTTCCAAAGTGGAGACAAATTATTCACTGCATCGCAGGTATTTGATTCATTGATGAGAAGATGTGCAATTAAACTTATGCTAAAGCACTCCTTAGCTATAACATCTATGGTTCTTTAATTATGGGGATGGAACATGGCAATCAACTACATGAGTTAATCACTGAAAATTGCTTGTCATTCCTCATCATTTGGGAGCTCAAGCTCACAGAGTGAAAACTTGTGCTCTTTACCCAGGCAGAACTCCAAGTGAGGACAGGGTGGGCTTTGCCATATGGGATCCAGTGGAAGTGAATGGGAGATTTGCCTCAGTTAGGAAATGAATGCATTTTGCCTCGGTTCAAACCTTTCACTTCCCTACATCACTGTGCTAAGCCCAACAGTGAGACCTGGCTGCTGCAGGAGGATTTTGGAGCACGGCCATCCAAATTATCTGAACAGAATGACCACTTGCTGTCTGACTGCTGAGCATTAAGTGTGTGTGAGTTCAGTATAAATTCAAGGTTTTGCTTCTGAAATGGCTAAGCACAGCATCAGACAGTATAGAGGAAGTTTCCCTTTGCCACATATGCCACACACTTTCTTTTGCATATGAGATTCTCTTTTTACAGTCCTACCCAACAGCTTTGTCAAAATGTGAGCTGATTTTGTGCCACAGGCAAATATTTATGAAGAACAGGACTGGCAACTGAAATAATTTGTTCCATTTACCTAAACAAGTTTTTGAATCTTAAATTGCCAAGAATAAAAGAGGCTCATGCAATTAAAGAAAAACAAAAACTAGGGTAAAATGAGTAGATTAGAACAGCGATAGTTATCTTACAATGGTAAGAAAAAAAAAAAGACTATAAAAACCTTTTAAGCTTGGATTTTATTTTTTTTCATTAGCATTACTCACTGATGCTTTGTTCACTGCTGGCATTATTTGAATTTGCATTCTGTACTGAAATCAGCTTTTGTGTAGTTTTATTTTGTTTCTTTCTTCATGCTCTCTAAACAGAACATTCCAATAAGTTTGGGGTAAGTGATATCCCAATGTCCTTACAAGAAACAGGTAACAGCTTTCTTTAAAAAAGAGTGGAAGCCCAAAAAACAGAGTTCCTGAGATGAGGAGCAAAGTGTTAGTGTTCCTGAGAAGTGACATGCTGATCTGTCAACACTGGAGGGGCTATGATTCAGGTTGGTTCTCTGCTGCGGACCAAGAAAATATGGGTCATGTTTTGGGGTAAAGAATGCGAAAGCAGGGGACTTGACCCAGCAGCTGCACCACCTGCACTCTACTACTGCATGGTGACTACAGTCCAAGCAGTTTCAATCCTGCTTTCACCAATGATGTTTCTTCACACCGTGAATTTGTCACCACACCAGCAACCATGAATGCGGTACTCAATGGTGAGGGCAGGAAGTGAAGACAGAAACCCAAAGGAGGAGCTGAGGCAAGGCTGGAGCTGCTGTGGAGCAGGTGATCTGGGGGACAGGTGGAGCAGCAGCATTGAGCTGGTCCACCAGGCCTGGAGGAGAGGACAGGAGTGAAAGCATAGCTAGAGACAAAGGCTGCTCTTGTTTGAAGAGAGGAATAAATCCTGAATTGACACCTTACTGAAGTCAGGCCTGTGCTTAGCAAACTTGTGGGTATCTTGGCTCCTGAACATGGACCCTCCTTGGTGGTCTCAGTGTCAATGTACCAACTGAGAAGGAGGAGGGTGGTGGAGAGAGTTGGTGTGGCTGCTTCCGCATTTAACCACTCTAAAGAGTTTGACAAAATTAACAGTGTTTTTTTTTTCTCATTTCTTCAGCAGGTTTGGAGTCAGATTATTTCCTGTCTCCTCAGAAGACAGAACAGCTGCTGTAAAAGCAAGACCATGAGGAGACACAGCAGTGTTGCTGCCAGATAAGGATAGCATGGCTGTTCATTCCCTTCTCACTCACGCAGGACAGGGCCATCATTATCTAGTTTAAAGCAAACATGACAGACACTGCTATTATCACATCAGCAGATTGTTCAGTTATTATTGTTTGTATTGCAGGAGTGCCTGGAGGCCCAGGCTGTGTTGCAACACTTATTTGCTATGTGCAGGACATACTTTCAGGAGACCGTTCCCATCTGGAACAGCTTCTTCTGCACACACTAAGTATCAGTAAGAAAAAAGGGACTAATCACACTGTACCAGAGCAAAGGAAATGCAGTTTACCCAAAGTTGTAACTGAGAAACTCTTCTATAGAGCTGTATGGACAGCATCATTCTCAAGCCATGTGGAGAGACAGCAAAATTAATCAGCTGATGTTTTTGCATGTAGAAAGAAAAGATTGCA